GGTTCAAACCTACCACCCTTGGTATATGGGGCTAGCACCCTACCCACTAAGGCGCAGGCACTGCCCAGGAAGGCCTTTCTTGACTGCCCTACTCAAATGGACAACCTCGCCTCCAATGTCCTCCATGCCACCCCCCACCTTCTTACTGCCATCTGACCCAACCCCCTCACTATACTGCAAGCTGCCTTGGTCCCCCGTGTCTCCAGCCATTAGCACCAGTGGAAGCCTCCCTGCACCCCAGGCTCCTCCATGTGGGCAGCTGGAATGTGTAACAGGGTTCCCGCTCACCATGGAGGAAGGCCTCAGGCCAGATTAAGCAGGCATCCCCCACGGCTGAGAACACGAGGGCTCCCTGGAGGAGCTGGGCATAACCTCCACTTAAGGGCAAGGCCAACAGGAACACAGCCAGGCAGAGCACGGGCAAGCACTTGATCAGGGCGCTGAACCAGGACGGCTGGTCCTCGGGAATCCAGAGGAGGAAGTAGATGGAGCAGGTGAGGACGAAGGGACATAGCCACCTGCAGAGTTTTGGGGACTTTGGGGGAAGGAGTGGGTGCTGCTGAGCCACTGAGCTTGGCACCCAGTTCTTGAGGGTCAGGCCCTGCCAGGCTCGAACTCTATAATCTCTCAGCCCCTGTCCACCCCGACCCAGCACCCAAGCTGGCCAGGTATGGCCTATTCAGGGAGGACCTTCAACCTCCTCTATGACCTAGGTAGTCAGGCCTCTGACCCGCAAGGGTCAGGATATCTCAGGACCCCAGACCAGCTTCTTGGGGCTCCCAACCACCTCTCCAAGGACAGAGGCCCCCAGGCTCCCACACCCACAGAGGTTCTCACTTGGACTAGGAAGCCGGTCTTGGGAGGCAGCCCCTCTTTGGCAGCGTCCATGTTGGCCTGTGACACCCCAGGTAGCCTATCTTGGAGCTGGTGGCTTCAGGGTATGTAGGGGAGGGTTTGTGGTTACACGTTAACCCGAGGAGAGGAGCGTCCTATGAACTCTGCACCTGATAACAGGGCCCAGGGAGATATTGCTCCCACCCCAGGGATGGCCTCGCCTGGCACCCACTGATAAGGCACCCATTGGACCCAGGGGTCCCTCTTCCCCAACACTCGAATATGGGATAAGGCCCACAAATGCCCCCCCATTATCCTGTAACCAGCCAATAAAAGGGATAGGGCACAGAATTCCAATGGCTGCCTCTCCCTGCTGGCCAGGACCACACTGGAGGGATAGGAGGGGTCCCCCCTCAAAAGCCCCACGGGCCATGAGTGACTACAACGCTGACAAGGACAGACGTGTGAGTGCTGAGAACAGGCTACAGCCACTCCTTCTAAGTCCCAGAAACCTGCCATGGCTCCCAAACCAACAGTGATCCACAGTGGCAACTGTCATCCTGACCCAGCCTACACTCCAAGGAAGGGATGACCAAGACAAAGGTTTCCCAGATGGCTTACCTGCAGCACTCAGCTGTGCTGCACACTGGCAGTGCTTCGACCTTCCTGTTGGATACCCAGACCTACGGGGTTGCTTGGTGCCTGGACTTGCCATCAGGCATGGGGCTGCTGGACGCCCACACCCATCCATGAGGCAGCTCCCTGCTTCCCACCAAGGGAACAGGGGGAACAGGGACCCTGACCTCTCCCAATGCTCCTATCCTGCCAGCATCTGAGGGAAGGGGCCTCTGCTGCCACAGGGCACCCTCACTCAGCCACCTCTTGCCAGTCCTCAGTCTGTAGAAGGGCAGAGTGGTTGGGATGGCCCCTCCTGCCCACATGTGTGGCACAAGCACATGTGGGCATGAGCAGGGACCAGGGGGCCTAGAGCAACAGCCCACTTGACCAGTTCCCTTTCTCCCAGGAAGCAGTTACTTGGTCTGAGCAGAAGTCACTTTTCTCACCCCCACCCAGGGCCAGGCCTGGGCTAGCCATCAGGATTTAAGAGGAGACCCACCTAATGAGTACCATGTAAGGGTACATGGCACATTTCCTGGGTACAGGACAGGAAGCACCTACAATAAGGACTTTACCTAACAAATGTAAACATTATAATATAATTGTTTGTACCCTCATATAAATCTGAAATTTAAAAAAGGATGTAAGAACATAGTCTCAAGGCTAATGAAAGTCACACCCACAGAGGAACAGCTGCTCCCATAGGTGACCTGTGGCACACATGGGAAACCCTGGTACAGGGGTTCAGGGACCACATAGGCTCACCCCAACTTACCCCAAACTCAATGTCTGACCAACAAGCATCATAAACTGTCTTCCTTTATTTATATTTGCAATACGAAATAGAAGCTCGGCACGAACGCACACACACTCACACCAACCTGGGAGGAGGGAGCTGGGACAAGGCCACTTGGCATTGGGGCTGGGACCCCAGGCCCTTGGGACGCAGGGAAACCCAGCTAAACCCCGATTCAGGGCCCCGGGGGATGTTCTCATGAGGCCCTGCTCCCCAGAGCTGGCTGGCCTGGGTGAAGTGCAGGGTCTGGGCAAAGGCACAGCCCCAACTCAAACTCCTCTGATGCCCCCACTTCGCTGGGCCTTCCCCCAAGGTGGACCTGAGCTGAAGGGCCAATGTGGGCGTCTGCACCACAGCATGGGGTGCGATGCCAACGCCAGCCCCTGCTGGGACAGGACAGGAAGGGGGTGCTCTGGAGCAGGGCCCAGTACACACCCTGGCTCCTGTGCCTCCTCCCTCTCTGCATAATATATAATATACGCCTCTCTCTCTGCTCTCTCTATTTGACTCTATATCTTTATTTTAGGAGGCAATGCTCCCAAACTTCTCTTCTCAGTGCAAATGGGGGGCCTCCCTGGCACCAGCCTTCCGGGAGTCCAGAGGAGAGAATGTGGGGTTGGGGTGATGAGGGCAATGGGGGCCATGAGAGACCCGCCCTGCCCCCACCCAGGAGATCCATGAGAAGGACGGAGGATCCGGCCACCACAGGCAGGCAGCTACCTGAGAACAGAGGGAGATGTCAAGTGAGGGTCCAGCAGACCTGGTCCCCCCCACCTGGCCCCCAGCCATAGTCATACTCACTGGGGGCCCAGAGACACGGGCCCTCTTGGGGTGGAGCCACTGGGCATCGAAGGAGACTGTAGGGCACTGCTAAGGAGAGAGGAGACACCCAGGGTCATTCCCTGCCCTGACAGTGCTACCCTATTCCCTTGCTCCCTCTCCTCACCTCTGGCTTTGGGGAGGCCCCATGGGCTCTGGGCTCTTCTCCCCCTCTGTGGTCTGGGGGGCCCCAGGGTCTGGGACAGAGGTAGAGGGGTCTCTGGTTGCACTGTGGGCAAGAGGGGTATGGATGTCAGTCCTGCCTGTCCCTCTCCTGATGCCTCACACTCTGCACCACCCAGGTAGTCTCGCTTGGAATGTGCACCTGCCACCTGCCCCACTAGAAGGGGCCTCCGTGGGGGACAAGCACTGAGAAGATGCTCAGTGACCACACAAGTGGCCATGAGAATACAAATCAGGTGGCAGAACACAGGAGGACAAGCAACACTTGCATCGTGACTCACACTCAGCTGCCCCTGGCAGCTGGTTCCCACAGGAGTGTTCTGCATACCCCTGACTCTCCCAGGAGTCTTTCTAGGACCCCATGGCTCAAGAAGTTGGGGCTCCTAAAAGACATGGGGCAAACTTAAAGCTGAGCCTGGAGTCCTGCAAAGATGACTTGGAGCAGCTCAGGTTCAGGATGAATCCAGAGCCCACCTCAACCAGGAAGAAAAGGCTTCCCCTGGCACCTGCTTTCCCTTCAGCAGCTCCCCAACCCTTGTCACCTGTCCAAGGAGCTGGGGATGGAGCAAATCCCGTGGAAGGTGGCCTGGATGTCCCCAGTGCTGACCAAGGCCTGGCAGGGGGCTGTGGAGGAAGTAGAGACCAGGACTCACCCCTGTCCCCAGCAGGTTCCCAGCTGGCCAGGCCAATCTCAGGCGACAAGCATCAGGGGAAGCTCACCTGAGGGCTCCGCTACTTTGCTGCCATCTGTGGCTTCCTGAGGTGCTGAGGGGAGCAGGGGCTCCTGAGACCTGTAAGCAACAGGAGTGTCAAAGCGGGTAGCTGCAGTCAGCATTGGAGCCCGAAAAGAAGACTGGGACCTGGCAATAGCCAGCTGGCCTCAGCTACCCCAGGAAGTCTCAGGCTTACCTGAGCTGCAGGGCATCATGGGCTGGAGGGCAGGCCAGGCTTTGGGCGGGGAGGCCTTGGGGCACATTGGGGGGCCCCTGTGGGGCTGGGGGCCCAGAGCGCAGCTCTTCTTCTCTGGAGATACAGGGGCCAGCTGGGGTGTCTGTAGGCACTGGGTCAAAGGTGGCTGTCCAGCTTGGGCCTAGGACAGATGGGGACAGGACAGAGGGTGAGCTTGATGTCAGGCAGGCAACCTTGTGCCTGGCCACAAGCACCTCCTTACTCACCTGAGGGCTGAGGGATAGGACTGGGACAGGAGGGATGGGTGGGCTTTCCACGGGCTGCCCGGCTGTCACCTTCCTCGTCCTCCTCATCCTCTTCTTCTTCCTCATCTTCACTGTCTGTGCTGCCTCCACTCCTGCCCAGAAATCACCTGGTCAGTGGCTATATGACAGAGGCCAGCTGATACCTGCCCTCTACTCCCTGCAGCCTAGGGCAGCCCCAGGGGACATATGCTGAAGACCACGGCAGGGCAAGGAAGCCAAGGAACATGTGAGGATGCAGGGAGGAGAGGAGAGAAGCAGGTTGCTGGACCACACCTGAGAACACATGTGGGCAGTCGCAGGATGCAGTCATCCCCACTCTTGCATGTGTGGGATAGACCCTTGGAAGTGCACTGAGACTTGGCCACAGTGGCCAAGACAGCAGCTCACCAACTCTGAGTCACCGCCAGCCATCAGCAGAGCCAACTCCCTCACAGCCAGGATAGCAGCTCACCAGCTCTGAGTCACCCCGATCATCTCCCTCACAGGCCTCCCAGACCCGCACCTCCTCTAAACTGAAGGGGTTACTTCACCTTCCTCCAGCTGGAAAACCCAGGAAGGCAGAGACACTGGCTTTTAACACTGCTGTATCCTCAGTCCTGAAAATACCTGGCACCCAGAGCTGCTCCAAAAATACTCGCTCAATGTTGACTAATACACAGCTGGTGCCCATGAAGAAAACCCAAAAGAACCTACATGTTCATCAACTGGGAGAGGGTTAAACAAACTACAGTCCATGTCACCTAACAGTGGGGATGGGTTCTGAGATAGATGATTCACAACGGTGTGGATATCAGTCACCCTCACACAAACCTAGGGGTAGGGCAGTACACCCACAGGGCTGCACACACACGGCCTGCTGTGCATCACTGCACTGCAAGCTGCAGGCAGCTATAATGTGATGGGAAGCACCCATATCTCTAAACACATCTAAATACAGAGCGCTCACGGTGAGACCTACTGTTAATGATCTTATGGAACCACTGCTATATACGCAGTCCATCACTGACCTAGACGTCACTCTACATAAAGTGTTGCAAACATGTTGTCTTAATAGTGTTAGTGACTACTTTAACTGGAAAATAATGTATCTATATACAGCTAAAAATAAAACACTTAACAATCAAGGAATATAAGGGAACTCTCTTACCCCATAAAAGATATCTATGAAAACCTACAACCCACAGCTCACTCAAATGGCAGAAGCCTGGACACTTCCCAAGAGATAAGGAGCAAAACAAAGTGCCTGGTCTCACCACTTCTGTCTGCACTGTGCTTGGTATTAGCTAGGACCGATAGGCAAGATAAGGACATAAAAGGCAGCTGGATTGGAAAGGAAGAAGGAAAACTATTCACAGATGATGTGACTTTGTATGTAGAAAATCCCAAGGAATCTACTAAAACCATTAAAACTCATAAGTGACTTCAGCAAGTCATGGGATATAAGATTAGCATACAAAAACCTACTGTATTTTCACACACTTGCAACAAAGAGTATCAAAATGATTTCAAGAAAATTGTATTTGGGGTAGCACCTGTGGTTCAAGGAGCGGGGCGCCGGCCCCACATGCCCCCACATACCGGAGGTGGTGGGTTCAAGCCCAGCTCGGGCAAAAAAAAAAAAAAAAGAAAGAAAGAAAATTGTATTTACAATGATATCAAAAAGAATACTGAGGCTCAGCACCTGTGGCTCAAGTGGCTAAGGTGCCAGCCACATACACCCAAGGTGGAGGGTTTTAATCCAGCCTGGGCCCGCCAAACAAC